CCATGCCTGCCTTAGTGGCTCAGTGTTTTGAGCATTGTCCTGTGCACTGGAAAGTTGCAGGTTCAATCCCCAATGGAGGCATGTATCGATGTTTCTCACATCGATGCTTCTCTCTCTCCCCCTCTCACTCTAAAATCTAAATCAATAAAAAAAACAAACACCTACATTTTTAATTAAAAAGTTAGAACCAGTGAGTTTAGCAAGGTAATATGACAAAGGTCAATATACAAAATATCAATATTTCTATGAACTAATATTCAAGTACCTTGACTAGGCCCAAGATGGAGTTGCTTATGCTAAATCCCATGTCAGCCAACAAAGGCTTAACTAAACTTCTGTGCTCAGCTCTCCCAGAAAACATACCTCTGTGCTGACCAGTGAGCACTTGCCTGCTTAGCACAAGTTAGCTAACCTTGCTCCAAGCTTCCCTTTGCTCCATATAAGGAGAGTACCCCTGTGTGACCAGTTAACAATGCCCAGTATAACTTTCCTGTTCCTGCTCACTTTGGTCTAGAAACTCTCTCACTTTGTACAATCCTTGGAAACTTTTCTGTTTTTTAAACTTAATGCTTTCCAATTTATGAATTGTTAAATAAAAGTCAACTAGATTAGGAAATTAAGTGTCTAAAATTTTATCACCAGCAATGAATAGCTTAAAACAAATATAAAAACAATAGCATAAAAAGTAGTTTGGCGCCGAAACAGGTTTGGCTCAATGGATAGAGCGTCGGCTTGGAGACTGAAGGGTCCCAGGTTCAATTCCGGTCAAGGGCATGTACCTTGGTTGCAGGCATATCCCCAATAGGGGGTGTGCAGGAGGCAGCTGATCGATGACTCTCTCTCATCGATGTTTCTATCTCCCTTTCTCTCTGTACAAAATCAATAAAATATATATATATTTTTTAAAAGTAGTTTGGCATAATTTTTTTTCCAATTCTCACCCAAGGATATGCTCTACTGATTTGGGGGGGAAGAGAGAGAGAAGCCACACACATCGATGTATGAGAGAAAAATTAATTGACTGCCTCCTATACACACACACTGACTGGGAACGAACCTGCAATCTAGGCATGTGGTATGATTGGCAATCAAGCCAGTAGCTTTTGGTGCTGGGACAACACTCTAACCAGCTGAGCCACACTGGTCAGGATGTTTGGCATAATTTTAATAAAAGATATGAAACCTATACATTAAAATTTACAAAACATTACTGAGAAACGAAGGGCCTAAATATACAGAGAGTGGTACCATATTAATGGGTTAATATACTCTATTAAGATAGCATCTCTCACCCTGACTGGTTTGGCTCAGTGGATAGAGCATTGGCCAGCAGACTGAAGGGTCCCAGGTTCAATTTCAGTCAAGGGCATGTACCTTGGTTGCAGGCACATCCCCAGTAGGGGGCGTGCAGGAGACAGCTGATCAGTGTTTCCCATCAATTTTTCTAACTATCCCTCTCCCTTCCTCTCTGTAAAAAAATCAATAAAATATATTTCTTTAAAAGACAGCATTTCTCCCCTAAATTGATATATAGAATCAATGCAATACAATCAAATTTCATCAGACTTTTTTTTTTCTCTTATAATTTGGCAATCTGATTGTACAATTTGAATGGGAATGCAAAGGAATTAGAATAGCCAAAACAGTTTTGAAAAGAAAAGGAGGGGTGGGGGAAGGGACAGCCCTAGCAGATTTGGCTCAGTGGTTAGAGCATCAGCCTGCAGACCAAAGGGTCCTGGGTTCGATGACAGTCAAAGGCATGTACATTGGTTGCAGGATCCTCCCTGGCCTGGGCTCTGGTCCGGGCACATGGAGGAGGCAACCAATCATGTGTTTCTCTTACATCAGTGTTTCTTCCATTCTCTTCCATTCTCCCTAAAAATCAATGGGAAAAAAAACATATCCTCAAGTGAGGATTAATAAAAAGAAGAAAAAAAACAAGTTTGGTCAACTTAAGCTAAATCCACAATTAACAAAAATAGTATTGCCATAAAGATAAGACACAAAAATTAATGAAACAGGATAAAAAATTCAGAAATATATGCTATTTTCAGCTAGGCTCCAAGTTAGTATAATAGGGAAAGGATAGTCTTAAAAACTAGTTCATATCCACATGCAAGGAAATGAATTTCAAACCTTCCCTCCCAGTATACTACCGTGTTTCCCGAAAATAAGACATCCTCCAAAAATAAGACCTAGCGCATGGAAAGATAAGACATCCCCTGAAAATAAGACCTCACACAACTTTGGGAGAAAAAATTAATATAAGACACTGTCTTATTTTCGGGGAAACAGGATAGTATACAATAATTAACTTCAAATGGATAATATACTTAAATGTGAGAGCTAAACTTATAAAATCTGTATAAGAACTCCTTTGTGACCTTGTTAAGCAAAGATTTCCTAGCTAAGACACTAAAAGCATAAATCATAAAGAAAAAGTTGTAACTTGGGCTTTATTAAAAAATAGAAACTTTTCTCCCAAAAAGACATTGTTTAAGAAAAGGAAAGCACCAGCCACAGAATGGCAAAACAGTATTCGATAAAGGATTTGTTTTTAAAACACATCTTAAAATCTTTTAACAAAATACACATTTAACTAATTAAAAATGGGCAAAAGATTTTCATAAGGCATTTGAAAAATGCAAACTAGAATCATAATGAAAGCATTCACTAAACATCCACTAGCACTATTGAGATAAAATATCTGACAACCACAAGTGATAAAACCAAATGGAACATCTGAAACTGCTTCATTGCTGGTATAAATGCAAAATGGTACAGTCACTTTAGAAACACCTTCTTATAAAATAGTTATATATATAGTCACTAGAGGCCCAGTGCACCAAATTCATGCACAGGTAGGATCCCTAATGGCTGCCGGCCGCTGGCTGGGGCCTTCCTTTGTTCTGTGCTTCCCCCTGGCGGTAAGCACACATCATAGTGAGCAAACGAACTCCTGGTTGGTCGAACTGAGGGGACACTTTGCATGTTAGGCTTTTATATATATAGATTGCTTGCCTCAGCAATTCCACTCCCAGGTATTTCCCAGGAGAAATAAAAACATACCCCCATAAAGAAGAGGACATGAATGTACACAGCACTTGTATTCATTATGATCCCAAACTGGAAACAACCAGTTGTCCACAACTGGTGAGTGGATATATGAACAGAGAGACTCAAAAGCATTATCCTAAATGGAAGAAACTGGACCAAAAAAAGGCTAATGTAGTATAATTCCATTTATATGAATGACATCCTAGAAGTGGCAGAACTGTAGTGATTGAAAAAAAGATCAGAGATTCCAGGGCTTGGGATGGAGTGAGTGGATTGATTGAAAAGATGCACAATTTGAGGGTGATGGAAATGCTTTATGTCTTAATTGTTGTGAAAATTACATTTGTCAAAACTCAACACTCAAATGGGTGAATTTACATGTATAATAAATTATATCTCAATCTGTTTTTCTTAAATACACAATAGATCTGTTACTGCTGATTTGTGTGTGTGTGTGTGTGTGTGTGTGTGTGTGTGTGTGTGTGAGAGAGAGAGAGAGAGAGAGAGAGAGAGAGAGAGAGAGAGAGAGAGAGAAGGGGGTATTTTTTGGTTAATTCTCATCCAAGGATATTTTTTGCATTGCTTTTTAGAGAGTGGAAGGGAGGGAATTGAGGGCGGGAGGGAGGGAAGGAGGAGGGAGGGAGGGAAGAAGGGAGGGAAGGAGGAAGAGAAAGAGAGAGAGAGAGAGAGAGAGAGAGAGAGAGAGAGAGAGAGAGAAACATGGATGTAAGAGAGACACATTGATTGATTGATTGCCTCCTGCAGGCACCCCAACCCTCGGGGGATTCAATCAGCAACCTAGGTATGTGCCCTTGACAGGAAGAAAACCCAAGACACTTTGATGATCAGGTCAATGCTCTAACCACTGAGTAACATGGACCAGGTCTAATTATTTTTTTATAGTCTGGGGTACAAACCTCTGGTCTTTAGGACTGTAGACAGATTTTTAAAAATAAATATATTTTATTGATTTTTTTACAGAGAGGAAGGGAGGGAGATAGAGAGCCAGAAACGTTGATGAGAGAGATGTGCCCGCAGTCAACATACATGCCCCCGACAGGAATCGAACCCGGGACCTTTCCGTCCGCAGACCGACACTCTACCACTGAGCCAAACCGGTTTCGGCAGTAGACAGATTTTTAAAGATATGGTGTGATAAGTGTGATGGCGGGTAGCAGTAGAGGATGCTTAGACTGGAGGGTGTGATGGATTCTTTCTTGATTCAAGTCATCTCCTGTCCTCTACTCTTCCCAATGTGAAAGCCAAAAGACAGATTCTTGCTTTTCCGGTTTCTTCAGCTAAGGGTGCCCAGTGATCCCGTTTTGTTCAAGGATGTCTAAGGTGACTAGGGCTGGGGCTTTTAGTAAGCCTTTTGCTTCCCTGATAAAAAGAGAATGTGCTATACTGTCTCCCCATTCCTCCCTCTTTTTTAAAAAAAAAAATATATTTTATTGATTTTTCACAGAGAGGAAGAGAGAGGGTTAGAGAAAAACATCGATGAGAGAGATGTGCCCGCAACCAACGTACATGCCCTTGACCAGAATCGAACCTGGGACCTTTTGTCCGCAGGCAGACGCTCTATCCACTGAGCCAAACCGGTTTTGCCCCCCCCCCCTCTTTTTTTTAACAGGAAAAGAATTCTGCCTCATGTGATCGCTCAAATAAAAGATGCTTCAAAAGGAAGAAAAACAAGCTGAAGATTTTCGCACCTAAGTATATTTAAGTGTGATAGTTAGAATATTACAGTTTTCAGAGTACCAAAAATAATTTCTGTATTTTCTACCCAGTCCAATGTTCTTTTTCTATTTACTCTTCCTTAATTGGGTAGATTCTGTGCCAAGAATATATGTCATTCTAGTTAGAATAACCTATCTCTTACTAGTAACTGTAGCTAAAGTAATCAGTGTGTGAAGGGCTATAGCTCAAAAAAGAAAAGAATACATTTATGTTTCATAAAGGGAACTAGGTGTTAGTCTAGTAAAATTTGGTTCTTCATAAGTATTTCCAACTTCATAAGTATTATCTGATGTTCCCATGCCCTCTGACATTGCTGCATAGTCATATATATTTTCCGGTTCTCGTTCAAACTTGGAACCTAGAGAGAGAGGAATGACAAATGTTTAGAAAGATGCCTGATGGGATAAGATATAGACTCCTTCAATATACCAGGCTAAGGTCCATTCCACATTCCTTTCACCACTGTTAGAGCACCTATCTTTACTAGTATATCCTATTTAACTGAAGCCATAAATGTCCCCAATTTTTTAGTTCATCCTACTGTTCCCTACTATATTTCATTTTCTACCTCTACAAAAGGCTCTGAAGGACTTGGGTTTGAGTTTGATTTATTACTAATTAGCTGTGCAATTTGTGACAAGTTATTTAACCTAAGTCCCAGTGTCCTCATCTATAAAATGGGGCTAACAATAGCACATGCCTAATCATTTTTGTGAGAGTTGAGTGTAATGTGCATGTAAAGGACTTAGCATTCAGCGTGGCATTTAGTTAGTGCCCCATAATCCACTATTAGTTAACAGTATTTTATTCACAAATGAACAGAAGCCTTTTCTCTCTCTTGAGCTAGTTTCCAAATATCAGGATTAGATTACCTTGTTCTCTTGAAGAAGTGGCACACACTCTCTCTTCTTCTCCAGTGCCAACATCCCCAATGTCTCCCCTTCTACTGACTTCAGCTATAATGCAAACCTCTGCTTCTTAAAGTAAATTTCACTTGCTCTTGTGCTCCTTCCAATCATCATGCTATATCTTACCATCTTCCTGCCGTTAGTACAGGCAGACCTAGTTTTGTGGCGCTTCACTTTATTATGCTTCACAGATACTGCTAGTTATTTATTTTTTGTTTATTGTTTAAAATATTACATATAGTAGTATGTGTGTGTGTGTGTGTGTATATATATATATATATATATATATATATATATATATATCCCCCCTCTTGATCTTCCCCCAGCCTCCTCTACCCCTTTGCATGCCCTCTCCCTGCTCCCCTCCCCCCAGGGTCTTGTGTCCATTGGTTGTGCTTATAGGCATGCATGCTTATAGGCATCCTTTGGTTGATCTCTTTCACTCCCACCCCAACACTCCCCAGCCTTCCTGCTGTAATTTGACATTCTGTTAGGTGCTTTACTGCCTCTGTATCTATATTTTTGTTCATCAGGTTATAATGTTCTTTATTTTCCATAAATGAGTGGGATCATGTGGTACTTTTCTTTCATTGCCTGGCTTATAATGCTCTCCAGATCCATCCATGCTACTGCAAATGGTAAGAATTCCTTCTTTTTATAGCAGCATAGTATTCCATTGTGTAGATGTAACAGTTTTCTATTCCTCTCATCTGCTGATGGGCATTTAGGCTGTTTCAAATCATAGCTATGGTGAATTGTGCTGCTATAAACATAGGGGTGCACATATTCTTTTTGATTGGTGTTTCTAGTTTCTTAAGATATATTCCTAGAAGTGGAATTACTGGGTCAAATGGGACTTCCATTTTTAGTTTTTTGAGGAAACTCCATACTGTTCTCCACAGTGGCTGCACCAGTCTGCATTCCAACCAGCAGTGCATGAGGGTTCCTTTTTCTCCGCATCCTCACCACCATTTGTCATTTGTTTATTTGTTGATGATAGCCATTCTGACAGGTATGAGATGGTACCACATTGTCATTTGATTTGCATCTCTTGGATAATTAGTGACTTTTGACCATGTTTTCATGTCTCTTGGCCTTCCTTCTGTCTTTCGTAAAGATTCTATTTAGGTCTGTTGACTTAAAAAAAATTTTTTTTTATCATTTATCTTCCTTTTATTCATTTGTATAAGTTGCATGTAGATGTTGGAGATTAAGTCTTATCAGTGATAACATTTGCAAATATGTTCTCCTGTAGGCTTTCTATTGTTGATGGTTTCTTTTGCTGTGCAAAAGCTTTTTATTTTGATGTAGTCCCATTTGTTTATTTTATCTTTAGTTTCCATTGCCCTAGGAGTGGTATTGATTAAGAAATTGCTTTGGCATATTCTGAGATTTCTTTGTCTATGGATTCCTCTAGTATTTTTATGGTTTCCCATCTTATGCTTTAATCCTTTATCCATTTTGAGTTTATTTTTGTGTATGGTGTAAGTTGGTGGTCTAGTTTCATTTTTTTTTTTTTTTGCATGAATCTGTCCAATTTTCCCAACACCATTGATTGAAGAGACAGTTGTATGTTCATGCCTTCTTTGTCAAATATTGAGCATAGTGGTTTGGGTTGCCATCTGGGTTCTCTATTCTATTCCATTGATCTATATGTCTATTCTTGTGCCGGTACAGGGTTGTTTTGAGAACAGTGGCTTTGTAATACAGCTTGATAACTGGTATTGAGATCCCACCTACTTCATTCTTCTTTCTTGGGATTGCTATGGCTATTTGGGGTCTTTTTTATTCCAGATGAATTTTTGGAGAGTTCTTTCTACGTCTGTGAAATATTCTGTTGGTATTTTAATGGGGAGTGCATGGAATCTATAAATTGCTTTGGGTAGTATGTACATTTTAATGATGTTGACCATGAACATGGTATGTTCTTCCTCTCTTTTTTCAGTGTTGTGTAGTTTTCCACGTATAGGTCTTTTACCTCCTTAGTTAATTCCTAGGCATCTTAATTTTTTTTAGTATGATGGTAAATGGGATATTTTAGCCTCTCTTTCTGTAAGTTCATTATTGATGTATATAAATGTCATAGATATCTTGGCATTAATTTTGTATCTTGCTACATTGCCGAATTCATTTATTAACTCTAATAGTTTTTTGATGGAGTCTTTTGGGTTTTTTATGTACGATATCATGTCATCTGCAAATAAGGACAGCTTTACTTCTTTTCCAGTTTGGATGCCTTCTATTTCTTCTTATCTAATTGCAATGGTTAGTACTTCCAGTATTATGTCGAAAAGGAAATGTGAGAGTGGGCATCCCTGTTTTGTTCCTGTTCTTAGGGGAAATAGTTTTAGTTTTTGCCCATTGAGTATGATGTTGGCTGTGGGATTATCATATATGGCTTTTATTATGTTGAGGTATGATTTTTCTATTCCTACCTTGCTGAGAGTTTTTATCAAGAAAGGATGTTGGATTTTGTCACATTTTTTTCTGCATCAATTGATATGACTGTGTGATTTTTACCTCTCAATTATTTTATGTGAGGTATCATGTTTATTGATTTGTGCATATTGTACCATCCTTGCATCCCTGGGATAAATCCTACTTGGTCATGGTGTATGATCTTTCTGATGTACTGCTAGATCCAATTTGCTAGAATTTTTTTGAGGATTTTGGCATCTATGCTCATGAGGATATTGGTCTGTAATTCTTTTTCATTGTGTTGTCTTTATCTGGTTCTGGTATTTGTGTGATGATGGCTCCATATTATGAGCTAATGTATTCATTCCTCTTGAATTTTTTGGAAGGGTCTGAGGAGGATAGGTTTTAGTTCTTCCTTGAATGTTTGGGAAAACTCCCATGTGAAGCCATCTGGCCCCAGGCTTTTGTTTGCTGGAAAGTTTTTTATGACTGCTTCAATTTCTTGTTATTGGCCTATTGAGATGTTTAGAATCTTCTTGATTGAGCTTTGGAAGGTTGTATTTTTCTAGGAATATGTCCACTTCCTCCAGGTTGTACTGTTTGTTGGATAGAGATGTTCATAGTATTTTTTAACAATCCTTTGCATTTCTGTGGGGTCTGTTGTTATTTCTCCTCTTGCATTTCTGATTTTGTTTATTTGGGTCTTCTCTCTTGCTTCTTGGTGAGCCTGGCTAGGGGTACATCAATCTTGTTTATCCTTTCAAAGAACCAGACCTTAGTTTTGTTGGTCTTTTGTATTGTTTCTTTGGTCTCTATGTCGTTTATCTCTGCTCTGATATTTATTATTTCCTTCCTTCTGCTTACACGGGGCTTTTCTTATTGCTCTCTTTCTAACTCTTTGAGTTGTAGGGTTAGGTAATTTATTACCATTGTTTCTTTTCTTTTCTTTTCTTTTTTTTTTTTTCAGTAAGCTTGTAGAGCTATGAACTTCCCTCTCAAAATTGCTTTTGCTGTGTCCCATAGATTTTGCATTGTTGTGTTTTCATTGTCGTTTGTTGCCATGATATTTTTTCTTTTTTTCTTTGATCTGATAACCCAGTCATTGTTGAATAGCATGTTATTTAGTCTCCATGTGTTTGATTTTTTGGGGTTGTTTTTATTAACTTTATTGCCAGCTTTATGCCATGGTGTTCTGAGAAGATGCTTGATATGATTTCTATCTTCTTGAATATTAAGAGTCTTTGCTTGTAACCCCAATGACCCATGTGCACTTGAGAAGAATGTATATTCATTGGGATGAAATGTTCTGATGATGTCAATTAATGGCCTAGTGAGTCATTTAGGATTGATATTTCTTTGCTGATTTTTGTTTAGAGGATTTCTCCAATGGTGATAGTAGGTTATTAAGTCTCCTATTATCATTGTATTGCTGTCAATCTTTCCCTTGCTATCCTCCAGGAGTTTGTGTATTTGGGTGCTCCTGTATTGGGTGTGTATGTGTTTATCAGAGTTATTTCTTCTTGTTGGATTGCTCCTTTTAGTATTATGAAGTGGCCTTCCTTATCTCTTTATGTTCTTCACTTTGAGATCTAATTTGTCAGATATAAGTATTGCTACCCCAGCTTTATTTTTCATTTCCATTTGCCTAAAAAACCTTTTTTCCATCCTTTTACACTCAGTCTGTGTGTATCTTTTGGGGCATTTAATTCATTTACATTTAAAGTTATTATTGATAGGTACTTGTTTGTTGCCATTTTTATTCTTTACCCATGTTCCTTCTTCACTTCCTATTTCTTTTTCTTTTTTTCTTTTCTTGTCTTGTTTTACAGCAGACCCTTCAGCATTTCTTGCATTGCTGGTTTTGTGGTAATAAACTCCCTTAGTCCTTTTTGTCTGTGAAGCTCTTGATTTCACCCTCAATTTTGATTGATAGCTTTGCTGGGTATAGTATTCTTGAATTCAGACCTTTCCTTTGCATGACTTTGTATATTTCATTCCATTCCCTTCTGGCCTGATGTGTTTCTGTTGATAAATCATTTGCTAGTCTGATATGGGATCCTTTGTAGGTAACTTTCTGTCTCTCTCTGGCCACTTTTAAGATTCTTACTTTGTTGTTGGTGTTTGCCAATTTGATTATAATGTGCTTTGGAGTTCATTTTGCTTGGGAACCTGTGAACTCCTTGGATTTGTGTGGGTTTTTCCTTCCCTATTATCAAGGAAGTTTTCTGTCATTATTTCTTCAAACAGGTTTTCTATTCCTTGCTCAATTTGCTCTCCTTCTGGAACCCCTATTATGCAGATGTTGTTTTGTTTTGTATTGTCCCAAAGTTCCCTTACGCTCTCCTGCTTTTTAATTTTTTTTCTAGAAGCTGCTCTACTTGGTTATTTTTTCCTACCTTGTCTTCTAGCTCACTGATGTGGTCCTCTGCTTCTTCTAGTCTACTGTTGATACTTTATATTTAGGTTTTTTTTGTTTGTTTGTTTGTTTTTCCAGCAGCAATGTCATTTTTCATTTCTTCTTGGTTCTTCTTCATTTCCTCTTGGTTCTTACACATATTGTTGAATTTGTCTTCCATTTTTTTCATCCACATTATAACCATTTCTCTGAATTCTTTCTCTGACAGGTTGCTTGCCTCCATTTTGTTTACTTCCTTTTCTGGTGATGCCTGCTTTTCTTTCATATACGGGCTATTTCTTTGTCTTCTCCATGATCTCTCTTCTCTGGAAGAGAAGTTCTCACTCTGCTTTCCATGAGGAAGTGTGGAGCTCCTCTGAATCTGCGTGCTTGTGCCATTTGGGGACCGGTGTTCTTGGGTTCACATCTGTTTGGTGGGTGCCATAGTTGTAGATTCCCTGGGCTTTTCAGGCTTCTCATAGCATCCACTCTCCCCTTCAGGATGGTGCAGTCTTCCCCTATTTTGTCCTTTAAAATATGTATTATTTTTTCCTCTTATAAATAACTGAAGGATTAGATAATGCAAGACACAGTGATAGGTCTAACACTCAAATATAAATATTCTATCTCAAAGTCTAGATGCCTGTCCCCCTCATCCCACTACAGATATATCAAGTTGCTTCATTTTGGAGTGGGGGAGACCTTCTCAATCAAGACTGGAAATCCAGGAGTTTTCAGTGAGGAGACACAGAGCTGCCCCTGAGTCTGTGTGTTTGTGTCACTTGGGGACTGGTGTTTCAGGGTTCACTGCTGTTCACGTGGTGCCAGGGTTGTAGATACTGCCTTTTTTTTTTTTTTTTTTTTTTTTTTTTTTTTTTTAACAAATGGAAGGCAAGACCCTCCACCAGCAAAAAGATTATGATTCACTTTATTGCACTACTTGCATTATTGAAGTGGTCTGAAATTGAACCCACCATATTTCCAAGGTAGGCCTATAATCTCTCTTTTTAAAATATATTTTGGAGGGAGAGAGATAGAAACATCAATGACGAGAAAGAATCATTGATTGGCTGCCTCCTGCACACCTCATACTGGGTATCAAGTTGGCAACCCAGGCATGTGTCCTTTACTGGAATCAAACCCAGGACCCTTCAGTCCACAGACCAATGTTCTATTCTCTGAACCAAACCAGCTAGGGCTGTAATCTCTTTTAACTCAGTATTTTATATTCTATAGAGGCCCGATGCACAAAATTCGTGCATGGGGGGATGGGTCCATTCAGCTCAGCCTGCACCTTTTCCAATCCGGGATACCTCGGGGAATGTTCAACTGCCATTTTAGGCCCAATCCCTGGCAGTTGAAAAATCCCTCACAATCCTGGACTGCTGGCCCCTAATTGCTCAGCTACGTGCCAGCCTGTTCATTCCTAACTTCCTCCCATTGCTGGCCAGGTCACCCCCAACTACCCCCTCTGCCAGCCTGGTTGCTCCCAACTGTCCCCCCCCCCCCCACTTGATTGCCCCACACAGCCTAAATGTTCAATCATTTGATCGTACCTCACTAACGCCCCTGGTGTCCTGGTCATAGGCAGCTATCTTGTGAGGGCATGATGGCCAATTTGCATGTTACCTCTTTATTATAATATAATAGGATGCTCCCATTTTTGTACTTATCATTCCTTTATGTCCTTTGATTTGTCATTGAAAACTTACTGTGTGCTACACACACTAGGGATTCAGTAGCAAACAGGACAACTCCTTGCCCTTAAGTGAAGATAGTTCCCTAAAACTGTTCTGTAGAAGACCATCAACTCCATTAAACCCCCAAAGTGGAAACCACAGAGTGTTTGAGGAACAGGCAAGAGGCCAGTGATGGTGGGGTTGCGAGTGAGGGGGAGAGCAGGACATGATAAGAGTGGAAAGCTAAGCCAGAGCCAGTGTGATCCTAAAGTCAGGACTTTGTTCCAAGTGCAGCGAAAGCTATGAGAGGCAGCAGAGGTAGTCCTGGTTAAGAACATGGGTTCTGGCCGAAACCGGTTTGGCTCAGTGGTGGAGTGTCAGTCTTCGGACTGAAAGGTCCCAGGTTCGATTTTGGTCAAGGGCATGTGCATTGGTTGCGGGCACATCCCCGATGGGGGGTGTGCAAGAGGCAGCTGGTCGAAGTTTCTCTCTCATTGACGTTTCTAGCTCTCTATCTCCCTCCCTTCCTCCTCTCTGCAAAATATCAATAAAATATATTAAAATAAAATAAGAGAGAAAGATGATAATTAAAAAAAAAAGAACATGGGTTCTGAAGCTGGCAGTCTTCAGGTTCTTACTGTGAGATCTTGAGCAAGTATATCATCTCTTTGCTTGCTCATCTGTAAAATTAGCAAGCAAAGAGATGGATTGAAGATCAAATGAGTTAATATTATAAAACACTTTTAGTACTCCCACATGGTAATTGCTAAAGAAGAGTTTCTGTGTTCTAGTTGGGTTGGTTTACATTGTGAAAGACACTGTCTGCTGTGTGGGGAATGGACTGGTGGTGAGGAGGGGGTAATTGGTTTGAAGGCTGTCGTATAAGCCCACAGAGTGATGATAGCAACCTGAACTGTGGTGTGGTGGTAGCAATGAGCCAGATACGAGTGGATAGGTTAAGGCTAATTATACAGTATGAATTATGTACCAGGCACTAGTCTAAGCTCTTTACATGTTTTTCCTTAGTACTTCACTGCTACCTATAAGCCTTGTACTACTGTTAATTTAATTTTACAGAAGAGGAAACTGAACTAGTAACTTGCCCAAAATCACACAGCCAGTAAGCAGTAGAGCCAAAAATCAACACCAGGCAGTCTGAACTAACTCTCCACAATTGTAACTTCTCTGCTTTACCGCTTCCCACAGATGACAGCAGGAGAGAACTCATATATTCAGACTATTCAATAACCGTGATTAGACTTGGCTATGTTAGGTTGTTGATATTTCTGGGTTATGATGCTGTGCTTCTTGAACATGCTATCACTTTTAGTTGCTCTGTGTTGTGGACCACTGAGGGACAAGAATGGCATAAAACCTAAACATTTCTTATATTTTAAGGCATTTATTTAGCCAAGTGAATTTTGCTCATTAAAAATTATCATTGAAACCATGAAGTATGCAACTTTAAAAAAAGATTCATGAATAACTCAAGAAGACCAGTTGCTTTTGAATTCCTTATTTGATTTGATTTACTTAACTATATTACCTAACTACATTCTAACATTCCAACTGTTAACGATAAATGCGTAAAAGTAGTAAAATTGTTTTTCTAAAAATGTATTCTGTGCTTTAAAATTTTTAATTTACACAAATAAAAATACATTCATTTTCATAGAAACTCAGTATCATTTATAAATAGAAAGGTTATTTTTTGTGCTAATAATGCTTTAAGAAGGAAAAGTAAAGTTCTTTTCTGCTTAAAAATATATAGCTATTGGGTATTTCTAGCTACATTGAAAATGAAGTATGGTTTCAAACTAGAAAATATTTTAACCCTATATAAATTAAAACATTTCCTTCTATTTCCAATTAACAGTCTTACTATAAGATAATAATTACTTGGCAAATTTATTTATGTCCATATATTGTGCAGGGTGTGGAAATGTTAGGTGCTAAGAAATGTGTACATGTGTGAAATGTATCATTTTTGTTCAGAAGAATTTCCCATAAAGTACTGCTAAAAATCACCTACTTTTGAAGTTAACTGAAGAGTCGCTTGTAGCCATTTCCTTCCAGTTGGCAACGTACCTAAGCACATTATATAGACATTCATTAAATTAAATTGGTTTATTAGGAAGTAATTAATCGACTTATCAGTTCATGCTTACGCTTCTATAATTCCACTTCCTTTGTGAAATCATGACAACAAATTCACTAGACTAAATGTTTCATCTTTATGATTTTCCCACCTCCAAGTAGCTCTCATGCACCCAAGACAAACTCTAGGATGGAGAGTTGGAGGAGGTTTAAAAATGGTCCCCACTATCTACCATGCTTGTGCCTTGGGTCCCCGTCAGCACACCTCTCCTCATCTTATCCTATTCCATTCCTTTGAGATCATGTCTTCAGCTGAATGCCTACTAAGATGTTAGTTAACTTCTAAATTAAAAGTATGTATAGAAAATTCTCTGGGAGGGAAAAAGAGGAAACAACAAAAACAAAGATCTTTGTCCTTGGTTCTGGATTGCTACACCTACTGTCTCTGACATGTTAAAAGAAATTTAGTGCATGTGGTTTGTGATGTTAGTAGAGCAACATGCACTCTCTATAGTGTGCTGTAAACGTAAGAGGTCACGTTCACATAGGGCACATGAAGCTGCCACCTTAGTTCCCTAAACAGAATGAAATAGGGAAACCAGGATAGCTTGAGAAGATGTCAAACAGGGAAGGGCAAGATCTGATGAGGGAATACTCCGAAAGGCAGATTTCCTGCAACTGTTCCATTTCATTTTAGGCTCTGTACCCCTTTTCTTCCAACTGCACCCCAGAAGTCAGGTAAGAAACTGATCCCAAAAATATGTACATATATAATACCTTAATTTAAAATAAATAAATAAATAAATAAATAAATAAAAATAAAAATTAAAAAAAAAGAAACTGGTCTCACAAGGTACTGAAAGCGAGCTGGCAGAGAATGTATGAGGAGGATTAGAATTGTCATGAAAAAAATGATTTTCCAAGTATTCATTTATTCCACTGAATTACTCTTATTAGCTTTGTGTTCCTGAAGTTTTTTGCTTTAGGAAGGTATATGTTATCCAAGAACATTTAAGTATTTTAAATCCTGTCTCTAAAATCAGCTCCTTTTGTTACTCCTACCTCTTCTTGCTCCAAGAACTTTATTCTATGGCCTTAAATGGGATATCGCTGGGTCACTGTTATATAAAAAAATGCAAGAACCCTTTCCCAGGACCTCTTAGCAGACAGTTCAGTCTGGATTGACCTTACATTTCGGCAGACTTTCAGCAGGCGTTAGGATCACTATGAAGAGCTGGGTGTCTATCGCCCTGCTTCCTTGGATTTATACACTGAAATGTTTTCATTCTACCTTCAAGGACACCTGGCAATCTTGGTTACAAACATATGCCCTATTTAACTAAGGCTGACCACTAGCCCACATTTACCTGATATTAGGACAATTATTTAAAAAGAACTTCTCATAAGGAACATGTGTAACTGATAAAAACAGGGATAAAAGAAAATCTAAGTTTTACAAATAGAAGCAACAGACTGGTGATAGCATTACCATACTGCTCATATCATAGTGCTAATTTGTTTTTCTCACTAATACATTTTTAAGATAGTAATTGTAGAATAATTACTATTCTACATTTGGAATCTATAATGAATTTCTCAGGGATGCAAAGTTAACTTTTTAGTGGCCTGGTAAGTCCCTAGCCAGAGAAGCCACATAATTACTTGTCCTAGAAATTGAAGTTCAGATATAAAAACTATCTCTCACACACATAGGCAAAGATCCCTCGCCAACACTGTTAATAGATTATCAGGAAATTATTTAAGATACCCCAACTGCTGATTAATAATTTAGCAGGTTAGTTCAAAATTCATATGCTATTTGAAAATTATGAAGATCCTGGAAGTGGTCCATTTGGTAGATAGAGAATATGCCCCTGAAAACCCAACAAGAATATTAGCCACCATGCGGCCCTGTGGGTGGCTCAGTGACGGTGATGTGCTGCTTTACATTCTAAGTGCCTGAAGCAACTCAGCTCTAGATTCTGCAGAATTTGCAACAATACTCATCAGTGCCCAGTGAGTACAAGAGTGAAGTTGGTTCTACGCATTCTTCCAAATTACAATAATATTGTGGTCAGTTGATATTGTTGCAATGCGTATCTGAAGATGCAGATGGCCATCGGTCCTGACAAGGAGCTAGCACAAAAGTCTCTGGGGAAGAACCTGGTTTGTATCACTCAATATCAGCATTTAACACATTTTTTGTCATTCTAATTGACTGACTACTGAAAACTGTCCACAGATTTTGAAGGATACTCTCCAAGGAATTAGTGGCTACCAATTCTCCTGAAGAAAAATGGCAGACTCTGAAATCTCATCAAACAAGGTGAGTTAGGAACATCTAGATGACTACAAAGATCGAACAGGAAAGTAGACTGTGGAGACCATAATGCACTGGGAAGAAGGTGCTGGCTTATACCTAATGTCTGCAGTCGGCGGGGGGAAGACCTCTGCACAGTTTGGTGTTTGCCTCACAGTCAGCAGCGTGGGATTAGTAAGGGTACTGAAATAATCCCAAGTTATCACACTGGATTCTATTTGAAATATTTGTTGTTCAGGGCTCAGTAGAAAAACTTGCTTTCTAAGAATTCAAAGTTGATTCCAAATTATGATTGTGCCTAAGTGAGAGAATAAACTGCTAGAAATTATAATTTGGAGCATGAAGTATCTGCATTAAAAAGAAAAAAGTTTTCTGTTAGTCTTACCATGTCAAAGCTAGTTGTATCAATCTCATTTAACATACAGTATATGATACAAAAAAACCACTTCAAGTCTTACTGGTTTAATGTTTCTGTCCTTTCTTCCACAAAGAGACCATTAGAAATGTAATCTCTCACCAGACAGGTATGGCAGGTGGCTGAGATGCCTGTTTATTTCTTCCCTTCACACTCAACTGCATTATTCTCATTTATTCCAATAGTGATGGGATATAGAATATTAGGTGTAGATTTTGGGGTAATCTTTCACTAAAGCTTTCTGGCCTTTACTTGAATTAGCCAACAATATAAGGGAAATGCTAATTAGAATTTCAAAAGCTTACCTGAGAAAATTCTCTATCTTGCCCTCAGAAGCTCATTAAAAATGAACCTCACCTACAACTCTTCCCCCTAACCCCCAACCCCACCCTCTACCCACAACTTTTATCCTTAGGGGGGGAAAAAGTATAAGTATAGCATTACATAAAGTATGTGATTGTCTAATCACTATGCTGTACACCTGAAACTAATACAAAATAATATTAAATGTATATACTTTGATTTTCAAAAAAGTTTATAAAAGTCCAGCCTGCATGGCTTGGTGATTGAGCATTGACCTGTGAGCCAGGAGGTCATGGTATGATTCCCGGTCAGGGCAAATGCCCAGGTTGCTAGCTAGATCCACAGTGTGGGCAATGTAGAAAGCAGCCAATTGGGAATTCTCTCTCATCATTAGTGTTTCTCTCTCTCTCTCCTCTCCCTTCCTCTCTGAAATCAATAAAAATTTTTTTTAAATGTACAGCATTACAGTTCCTTTCTTTTGATATCATTTCTTGCATCATGATTGTTGTTAATTCAGTGTCCCAAAAATCACAGATGTGCTGTCGGTAGAGAATCCCTATATTATGGTTTGGACAAAATATTGAATCATAACAATATCTTTTTACTATTATTACAAGATATCTTACAGCATCTATCTACTATGAATAATTAGTTCTTCATTTCTTATCTTTCCCTTTTTATTTTCTAATATATCCTTCTTATCTTCTTTCTTATTGTTTTCCTATTTTTTTTCCTTTCTTTTACTTCTTCTGTCATCTTTCCTTTTTTCATTATTCTCTTCTCTGATTCTTCAATTCTCTTCTTCCTGTTTGTTATATGACATGTTGAGTTTTTCTATCCCATTTTCTTACCTCTTTTCCTTTTTTTATTTTTATACACAGCATCTTCATTTTAATTTTTCTGCCCTTCATCCATGCAATATTTGCATTCATTATTGTAGCTAAGTAAATATTCAATATATTTAAATTTTTTGAGATATAATTCACATGCCATAAAACTCAGCCATTTAAAGTGTATAACCCAGTGGCTTTTAGTGTACTCAGTCACCTTCCAATCCCCATAAGTCTCCCAGCCCTAGGCAACCACTAATCTATTTTCTGTCTCTATGGATTTGCCCATTCTGCACATTTCCTATAGATGGAATCATATAATACATGGTCTTTTATGATTGGCTTCTTTCACTTATCAGGCTCATCAATATTGTGGCATGTATCAGCATTTCTTTTTATTGTAGAATAATATTCCATTGTATGGATATATCACATTTTATTTACCCATTCATCAGTTGATTAATATTTGCATTGTTTCTACTTTTTTGTTATATCATAAATAATGCTGCTATAAACACTTATATAAAAGTTTTAGGTGGACATGTGTTTTTATTTCTCTGGTGCATATATACTGAGGACTGCAATTGCTCAATTATATGACAAGTTCCAGTCTAATTATGAGAAACTGCCAGATCATTTTCCAATATGGCTGCACCATTATACATTTCCACTGGCAGTATATAAAGGTTCTAATTCCTCCACCTCCTTGACAATGTGTTACTATCTATCTTTTCTATTATAGCCATCTTAGTGGGTCTGAAGTAAGTTTTAACTTGAAGTTCCTTGATAGTTATATTAAATATTTTTAAATTTCCATGACATACCAAAAAAATTCCTAAAAATTTAGTTTTCCAAGGACCATAGTATGACACTGAAAAAGAATAACTTTTTAATTCACAGGGAAGATCAGGGACTATACATTAAGGAAATTCTTCATATTATTAATTGCATGTTCTTAGCCTTGTTTCTAAATACCAAAGTAAGAAATAAAGTGGATTTAGACTAAGGCCTAATAATGAAGTCTGACAATAAAGAACACCTGTCTAATTTTCTTTTGTCTATTTTTAGATCATCCCTTTTATATCTTTTTCCCTTATTTCTTTTTCTTTCTTTCTAGACAAGAAATACATACTCATTTTGGGGGGAGAGGATTGTGTTTGTGACCCCCTAGATTCAATTTGGGAGTGGAAAATATTATAAATAAAGATATGATGCCTGCCCTTGTTCCCCAAAAATAGCAACATGTATTTACTCATCAAAGTTCAGCGTATTTGTCCAATTCAGCACTTCATCCACTTCCCATTCCATCACAGAATCTATTCCACCATTTTCAATAGATCGTATAAGCCCCTTGGATGCTCTGTGAATTAAGCTTAGAGTTTCTAGATTTGTTGACTTAGCCTCCAGCTGTCCTGAATTGTACCTAAATAGAGGAAAGGAAGAGACAAAAATCCTTTGGAATAGGCGATTACTAGTAGACACATTTAGTATATATTGTTATAATATTATTTAAATATAAGCCATCTTTTTATCCTACTTGAGTTAACTCAAATACCTCTAAACCAAGTTCTATGTGATGAAATCATTTGGGGGGAAAAAAGCAGCATAAGCAACTACACTAACCAGAGAAGCTTCATTTCAAAAATCTCAGTAAGTTGGATTTTTATGATATAATCATAGCATTATAGAATCAAAAGACCTTGGAGCCTAAATAATTGGCCAACTTGTTTTTATAAATAAGGAAATCTTGGAATAGTTAAATAACTTTTAGGAGGTCATGTTGCTAATGTTAATAGGAAGAGGGAAGGAAAGAGAAAGAAAGGAATAAATAAAGGGATAGAGTTATTGACATCTTTTTTTGTGTTAGGTACTTCTAATACATCATGTTGTTTCGTTCTCTTTAAAAAGACAGTTATTTGTAACAGCTATTTTTACCCATGAGGAAATTGAGACTTAGAGAAATTAAAAAAATGCTCAAGATTATGTATCAGAGCAGTATTTGAATATGATTTTAAGTACTTCTAAAGTACTGATTTCTTGAAAAAACAAAAACAGAAAATGGCAGCATAGGCAAATGCCTGTATTTACCACCTCCCACAACCACATCAAAATTATAACTAAAATACAGAACCACCATCATCCAGAACCACTGGAAAACTGACTAAACAGAAGTCCTGCAACTAGAAAAGTGAAGAAGAAAACACACTGAGACTGGTAGGATGTGCAGAGGCACAGAACAGGCTGGTCTGTCACCCATATGTGCCACTTTTTTTTAATATGGAGGGAGATCATCTTTGTGGAAGCTGCCCGAAGGAGCAAGGGGTCCCAGCTCCACATAAGATCCCAGCCCAGGCTTCCCAGAGCTGAAAGAAGAAGTCCCTTCAGGCAGTAAGAATTACAGGCTGTAAAAATCATGTGGATTGGGGCTCAGTGACACAGAGGCTCCTGGAGACCCAGTGTTCCTCCTAAAAGGTCAGTACCACCAACTGAACTTACAAGGTTTTGCTTCCTCTGAGCTCCAGCACCAGGGCGGGGCTCTGGTGAATATAGACACATAAGATGAGGAACTAGATTTTCTGGCATTGGGAAGGAACTCAGGGGTGCCTTTCTTTCAGATGGAGGTGTTCACAGGGATCATTGTTCCTATGCTGGGACCTCCCCAGTTGCAGGGCTGACTGGCAAACCAGTCAGCCCTGCAACTGGTGATTCCCTGAGACCCCACCTCATCCAATTTACAACTCCACCCAACCTGTGTGCAGTGGCTTTTGCATATGAATGGCCTGTTCTTGCTTAGGCTAAAATCTCTCAGGCAAGCTGCAACTGGGTCAAGAGCCTCAAACCTCTCAATAAAAGGTTAAGACCTGACACCAACACCAGCCTGCATTGCTTCATAGCTGGGCCTCATCAGGCACTTCCAAACCCAACACAAAGAGGAGGAATCTGAAGATATCTCTGAAGCTCCTGCTGGGTGGCCCCAGGCAGTGGCTGACTATGCACCTCCCTGTAAACCCAAGAGCCAGTGCACTCAATGGTCAGCATCAGACAATATCAAATTATAACTCTACATATCCATAAGTGACACATTCAAGGGGCAGACTCAGGGAGCACCAAAGCCCCTCTGAAGCAAGTCCTGCTCCATAGGGGTGTCTCCTGCACAGCCACTCTCACACTATAATCGCAGCTGGTCTTCATAGCCAATTGGCCTGGAGGTCAATTCCTCCCAGTGACACCAATAGCAGTCAAGTCTCAACTACAATAAGACTGTACATACAGCCAAAACCGAGTTGGCTCAGTGGATAGAGCGTCGGCCTGTGGACTGAAAGGTCCCGGGTTCGATTCCGGTCAAGGGCATGTACCTGGGTTGCAGGCACATCCCCAGTAAGAGGTGTGCAAGAGGCAGCTGATCAATGATTCTCTCTCATTGATGTTTCTAACTCTCTATCCCTCTCTATTCCTCTCTGTAAAAAATCAATAAAATATACTTAAAAAAAAAAAAAAAGACTGTACATACAGCCCACAAAAGGATGCACCTAGAGCTCCCAGCTCAGGTGACTGGGGAAGCTGAGCCACCAGTCCCGATAGAGCACCTACTACACAAGGCCAGTCTATCAACTCAAGGAGACACAGCAGCTCCACCCAGTAAAAAGAAAAAACACAGGGAAGCAGCCAAAATGTGAAGACAAAGAAACATGTCAAAATGGAAGAAATGCAAGAAAACAAACTACTGGATATAGAGTTCAAAACCACAGTTATAAAGTTACTCAAGAATTTTCTAGAAACCTCAAAAAAAAAAAAAATGGAAAAGAACCAGTCAGAAATCAAGCATGCACTGACTGAAATAAAGAATAATATACAGAGATTTAACAGTAGAATGGTGGGCTTTGAGATCAAATCAACGATTTGAAATGCGAGAAAGCAAAAGCACATCCAACCCAGACGAGCAAAAAGAAAAAATAATAAAAAATATGAAGATAATGTAAGGAGCCTCTGGGACAACTTCAAGCACACCAACATTCACATTATGAGGGTGCCAGAAGAAGAGAGAGAGCAGGATATTGAAAACCTATTTGAAGAAATAATGACAGAAAATTTATTCTACCTGTTGAAAGAAATAGACTTATAAGTCCAGCAAGCACAGAGTCCCAAACAAGAGGAACCCAAAGAGGATCACACCAAGTCACATTATAATTAAAATGCCAAAGCCTAAAGACAAAGAAAGAATCTTAAAAGAAGCCAGAGAAAAGCAGTTAGTTATCTACAAGGGACTGCCCATTTAACTATCAGCTTATTTCTCAACAGAAACTATGCAGGCCAGAATGGAGTGGCAAGAAATATTCAAGTGATGAATTCCAAGGACCTACAACCCAGATTACTCTACCCAGTAAAGCTATCATTTAGAATTGAAGGTCAGATAAAGAGCTTCACAGACAAGAAAAAGCTAAAGTTTATCACCACTAAATCAGTATTATATGAAATATTGAAGGATATTCTTTAAGAAGAGGAAGAAGAAGAAAAAGAACAAAATGGCAACAAATACATACCTATCAAGAACTGAATCTAAGTGTTGAATTAAATGAGTAAGAAATCTAATGATTAGAATAAACTGGTGAATAAAATAGAATCAGAAGCCTGAAAATGGAAATGGAACATGCTGATGATTCTCAGAGGGAAGGGGGGAAGGGGGCAGAAAGAGATTAAACAAAGATCTTGTTTGCATATATGCAGTACCTATGGACACAGACAATAGGATTGTGAAGGCTTGGGGTGGGACGGGAACTGGGTGGAGAGGGTTAATGGGGGGGAGGGGAGAACACTGTAATAATCTTAACAATATTTTTAAAAAATGAAGTACTATTCTCTTATATTAGTCTGAGCACATAAATTAATGCATCCCACAAACATGAACTGAGTGAATAGACAAAAGTTGTCCTTATTAATACCGTTTCCCCGAAAATAAGACAGTGTCTTATATTAATTTTTGCTCCCAAAGATGCACTAGATCTTATTTTCAGGGGATGTCTTATTTTTCCATGCGCTAGGTCTTATTTTCGGAGGATGTCTTATTTTTGGGGAAACATGGTAGTACTAGAATATAACATTTTTATTGTTTTTATTTTAAGATCTACGTTGGAAGTGTAAATCCCTATAAAATATTTACAACCACCACTGGAACATAGTAAATATTCAATAAAAGAAGATTTACACAATCCTGGATGGCAATAGATATGACAGTGAGAAAATATACCCCTGACCTCATTAAGTTATTTCTTTGTCAGACTTTAAATGGATAATGATCTATGAAAACTAAACGCATTTTATAAAAGCAGAAACATGCCTCTTGATTTAAATTGATTAGCAAGAGTAAAAATTTAAGAAAGTATGATTTCATCATTTTTTTAGAGTTCTTAATTTGCTTATTCATTTAATAGACAGTTATTGAGTGTCTACCAATCTGTACAAAGGTGAAATTCCCTCATGGAACTTGCAATCTTCCAATTCTATGCTCTCTCCCCTGAATATAATAGGTACTTAGTAGACATTTACTAAATGAAAGAATAAATAAATGATGGTACCAATTGGCCCATATTTATTAACTGATACTCATGCCACGATAAAAATGCATTTAGAAATCAGAAACTTCTGCAAAGCTGGGGGTTAATGCATTTTTTATGAGTCTCTCCATGTTCTAATTTCTCATATATACAGATACTTAAGATTAGATTTTGAAACCAGGGTGATACTCCTTTTTCCTTTTAATAATGATTATTCATATATATATATATATATATATATATATATATATATATATAGTTGATTTTTTTACAGAGAGGAAGAGAGAGGGATAGAGAGAAACATTGATGAGAGAGAATCATTGACCAGCTGCCTCTTACACATCCCCCACTGGGGATGTGCCCACAACCAAGGTACATGCCCTTGACTGGAATTGAACCTGGGACCTTTGTCTGCACGCCATTGCTCTATTCACTGAGCCAAACAGGTTTCAGCTAATTCTGAGTATTCTTAATTGACTTTTTAGAGAGGAAGGGAGAGAGATGTGCCTTCCACACATTCCCCAACTAGGACCAAATCAACAACCCAGGTATGGGCCTTGACTGGGAACTTTTCAGTATAAGGATTGATGCCCCAACCAATGGAGCCACACTGGCCAGAGCATCCCTTTATTACTTTAAATTAGAGGCCCGGTGCATGAATTTGTGCACGGGCGAGGTCTCTAGGCCTGGTCAGCAGTCAGGGTTGATCAGGGACAGGTGAACAGGGGCCTGTCGGCTGGGGGAAGGACAGAATACTGGAGGTTGGCTGCTGGCCCTGAGGAAGGAGCTGGACCTTGGCCACCCTGGGAAATAGGCTGTGCCCACTGCCACCCACTCCTGCTTCTCCATCCCAGCCTAGGGCCAAAAGACCCCAGCGGGGTTGGGAGAGGAGGCGTCGGTTGCTGGACTAGGCGTGGAAGGAATGGCTGCTGGCTGGCTGTGGGAGGTTAACTATGAGAGCACACTTACCACCAGGGGCAGCTCCTGCGTTGGGCATCTGCCCCCTTGTTGTCAGTGCATGTCATAGTGATTGGTCAACCAATAATTCGGGTTGTTCTGGTCATTCAGTCGTAACAGTGGCTTAAGCTTTATATATATGACACCTTTTATCTCTGGAAATGTACTTTGCTTTGAAATCTACTTTGTCAAATATTAATATAGTCACTCCAGCTTTCTTTTGATTAGTGTTAGCATGACCCTTTTTCATGCTTTTACTTTGAACCTATTTCTAATTAATATTTAAAATTAATTCTTATATTCAATATACAGACCATTTATATTTAACTGGAGGCTCAATGCATGAAATTCTTACACTTGGGGGTGGGGTCCCTCAACCCAGCCTATGCCCTCTCACATTATAGGACCCCTGGGGGGGGGTCCGACTGCCAGCTTAGGCCTTCCCCCTAGGGGAACAGGCTTAAGGCAGCAGTCAGACATTCTTAGCGCTGCTGTGAAGGCAGGAGAGGCTCCCACTCTGCTGTGCTTGCCAGCCATGAGCCCGGCTTCTGGATGAGTGGTGCTCCCTCAGGGGGAGCACACTTACCACCAAGGGGCAGCTCCTGAATTGAGCGTCTGCCCCCCTGGTGGTCAGTGCACATCATAGCAACTGGTCATTCTGCTGTTTGGTTAATTTGCATATTATATTAGCCTTTTATTATATAGAATATGATGATATGGTTAGTTTTAGCCTATATCATGCTATTTGTTTTCTATTTGTTCTGTATGTTCTTCATTTTCTTTCCTCCTTTATCAGCCTTCTCTTGGATTAACTGATTTTTAAAAAATTATTCTATTTTATCTCCATTATTAGCTTATTAGTCTTCCATCTTTGTTATTATTGTTGATTTTATGGTTGTTTTAGTGTTTGTAGTATACATATTTAATTATCATAGTCTATCTTTAAGCAATGTTATAGCACTTCATATGTAGTATAAGGAACTTGTAACGATATTTTTCCATTTCATCTCTCCCACCTTTTGTGATATTATCATTCATTTTACTTCTGCTGTTATAAATTAATAAATACCATAGTATATTATCATTATTTCTGTTTTAAATAGCAAATTACCTTTAAATTTTTTGAACTTTATTTAGCAATTGTGTCATGTTTATATTACAGTCTCACTTTTCTAATTATTTACTTGTATTGTCAGAAAAAATAAGCAATTATAATTTTTTGAAACGAAGATTTTCAGTATAAGATAAAAGGAGTACAATTGTGGAATCAAGAATTTAAGTAGAACTTCATTGACAATATCAATATTAACATTTCTTCGCAATAAAAATTTTGTTATCTTTTTTAAATTTGTGGTAAAAATATTTAGCAAGCACGGCCAATGTGGCTCAGTGGTTGAGCATTGACCTATGAACCAAGAGGTCAAGGTTCGATTCTCGGTCAGAGCACATGCCTAGGTTGAGGGCTCAATCCCTAGTGTAGGGTATGCAGGAGGCAGCCAATCAATGATTTTCTCTCATTATTGATGTTTCGATCTCCCTCTCCCTTCCTCTCAGAAATCAATAAAAATATTTTCAAAATTTTACAAGATTTATCATCTTATCTATTTTTAAGTGTACAGTCTAATAGTAATCTTTGAAGAAGATTTGATTTATAAGGAAAAAAAGTGCTTTGTATTTATTTACATAGTTACCATTTTTTGGTATTCTTCATTTTTGTAAAGATCCATATTTCTACCTAGTATCATTTTCTTCTGCTTGAACTTAATATTTTTTTGTGCTGGTCTGTGTGATGAGAGAATTTAGCTCTTGTTTGTCTGAAAAGTTTTTCTTTTATATTCATTTTTAAAGTATAATTTTGGTGGGTCTGGTGCTATTGATTAATCTCTTCAGGAATCTATTTTCCTGTCCCTTTATATGCCTGATAATTGATTACTATGTGGTAGACATTGTGAATTTTATGTGATTTCTGGTACTGGAGGTTTTTGTATTCCTTTCAATATTCTGGGGCTTTAGTTTGTTAAGCAGTCAAGTAAACTTGGAGACATTTAATTTTATGACACTTGCTTTTAACATGTGTTACATAGGTCCAGAATGACTTTATTAAAATCCACACAGTCAGTCTTTTAGGGCAGAAAGAAGAGTTGAGTGGGTCTAGGGACCCTAATGAAAGTTATCTATAATAATGAAATCATAATATGCAAATTGATCAAACAGTCAAACAGCAGAATGACCGTCTGGATGACCATCTGGAAGATCACACTATGACATGCACTGGCACCAGGCCAGCCAAGTCAGGTGTGATGTGATTGGGTCGGCCCCCAGATTGATGGTGCTGTGGCGGGCGGGTGGGGCCTCCCTCTGCTAGGTGATTACAGGGCTTCTGGACTGCTAGAGGGCACAGGTCAGGCTGAGGGACCACCCCTGAGTGTACAAATTTTGTGCACAGGCATCTAATCCTATATAATAAAAGACTAATATGCTGCACTGATCACCAGGGGCAGATATTCAATGCAATAGCTGCCCCCTGGTAGCCAGTGCACTCCCAATGGGGGAACAGCACTCCACTAGAAGCCCTAAGCCGGGCTCACAGCTGGTGAATGCAGTGAGGATGTCTGTGGCAGCACTGAGGATGTCTGACCGATGGCTTAGGCCTGCTCCCTGGGGGCTCCTGGACTGCGAGAGGGTGAAGGCCAGGCTGAGGGATGAATTTCATATGCACAAATTTTGGGCATTGGGCCTCTAGTTGATATATTTTCATATCTGATATTCCAATAGAATGTGATTTCTTTAAGGTCCAAGATAGCATATCTTTTCCTATTTACTTGCTGAAGCTCAACCATGTCTGGCACATAATAGGCATTTATTAATGTTTGCTTTCTATGTATTTTTAAAAATATAATTGTAACCTTAAATTTTCTTTTAAAAATGATACTCCCCTTAGCCCCCATTAATGGACTGCAGCTAGCTTGATGCTGGATTTGACCTGGCCCAACATGGAAAGGAAACTCTAGACAAGACACTGGTTTTGCTTCTAGCTCTATTGAAACCCCAACCCAGCTGGTGTTGCTCAATTGGTGGAACATTGTCCCATGCACCCAGAGGTCACCAGTTTGATTCCAGCAGGGGCACAAGCCCAGATTGCAGCCTTGATCCCCAAGGGGAGTGTGCAGGGGGTAATCTATCGATGTTTCTACCTCTCCCTTCCTCTCCCTTCTCTCTAAAAAAAATCAATAAAAAACATTTTTTTAAAAAAGAAAAAAATCCCAGCTATTCTTCCTCTGTAAGGAAATGGGACTTTGGAAATTCAGTGGTGTAATTCTATGGAAATAAAGCTTTCTACCATATTGCAAAATAAATATATAACATAATTATTTCAGTAATAATAGCAAAAAATTAAAATCTTAAAATACCATGTACTTTTTAGTAAGTCTTTCATCAACTTACATTTGCCTCATCCATTCTATTTTTTTAAATTTTCTCCTTTTTTCTATATCTTGTCTTCTTTTCAGTTTAGAGAAATGAAATTTGGTTTCCTTTATGTCTTCTGTAATTACAAATTCAGTAGACACCAAAAACTATTGAGAAATAAAACAAGAATATACAAAATGTTGAAATACTGATTGTGAGGTTATCTGACTGTAGACAATAACTTCTGTGTGCTCAATATGAATATACCAAGATAGAAATAGAGGGTAAGATAAACCCCTGAATGGTATTTCTAATTTAGTGATTGATGAATAGCACAGGGAGCCTTTAGAGACACATGCCACAGAAAGACTGACCAGGTACTAGTGTACTGAGGTACTTAATAAGTATTTGTTGAATGAATAGACATATTCTAAGTGTTTTAATTTCTCACAAGAACAGACCTGACCCATTCTTAGTGCTGGTTGCTTTTGAAGACCCTAATTCTAAGGGAGTACAGGCAGGCTCCAAGAACACAGAAGTCTCACCTTTATGTCCTAAGAATATGTGGTTTCCCATACAGAGTATGACACTGTATCCTAACTGGTAGACTATTTTCCTCCTTCTGATCCATTCCCCTTCATCCATCACACACACATTAAATAATAAGGAGGAGAGTTTGCTATTCCCCACAACATTCTGCATTTGCCACTATAAAAGCACATTTTTTATTGCATTATATTAAAATATCCTATTTACTAAATGTCTCCAAACTAAAAGGCAAACTGCTTGTGGAGAGCAATTATTCTTACTTACTACTTGAGGCCCAGTGCATGAAATTCCTGCACGGGAGTATGTATCCCTCAACCCAGCCTGCACCCGATCTGGTGGAATCGGGCCTAAACGGGCAGTCAGACATCCCTCTCACAATCCAACTACTCCCAACTGCTTGCCTGCTTGCCAGCCCGATTGCTCCTAACTGCCCTCCCCTGCCAGCCAGTTGCCCCAACTACCCTCCCCTGCTGGCCCGATTGCCCCTAACTGCCCTCTTCTGCCAGCCTGATCACCCCCAACTGTCCTCCCTTGCAGGCCTGGTCGTCCCCCCCCAACTGCCCTCTCCTGCAGGTCTGGTCACCCACAACTTCTCTCCTCTGCTGGCCCAGTCACCCTTAACTGCCTTCCCCTGCTGGCCTGATAGCCCACAACTACCCTCCTTTGTTGGCCATCTTGTGGCTGCCATCTTGTGTGTTGGAGTGATGGTCAATTTGCATATTATCTCTTTATTATGTAGGATTATTATATAGAATTATATCCTTAGAATTTGGTACAATGCCTGACACATGGTTGGTATGCAATCAAGTTTGTTGAATAAATACATACCTTGATCATTTTCACTTCTCATTTTTAGTATACAACATACTACATTCTATCATCTGAGGACTGAAGATTTGATGAAGATATTTGAGGCAACATAAACAGACATCTAGAGCTATAGAACCAGATCATGTTAACCTATAAAATGTAACCTTACAAATATCCGTAGGTAGAAATTATTTTCACAAAAGAGATTAAACATGGGTGTCTTTAGAAAAGTTCCTGAATCACATATAGCATTAGGATCTATGTATATTTAAAATCACTCTGTTCAATTAATATGAATACATGTTAAGTTTCCCAACACCATGAAAATTAAAATGATTCTCCACCAGACTCTGCTATTATAAGCTCTGTAAGATAAAATGTTATCATTGTTTTCAAGAACTCCCACTTCTAGTCCACATATTAATAGAGTCAACATCTTCACATTTGCTTTGATATCAAAATGGTAAACTGCCGAGTACTAGGGTGTTCCTAAAGATGGCTTCAATCAAATTTACTAAAAGTAGAAATAAATCTATAAAAAAATAGATATAGATATATTCCTGTATCTTGAAGTATCATTAGTAACCCCAAAGTAGTTAACTAAGCAATTTTTATCAGCTAAATTACTAGGAATAACTGTTTAAAAATAATTTTAAAATAATTAAAAAAAAGATAAATTGGTTTACAAATATTAAAGATTCAAAATTATTAATATTTTTCTTACTCTTTCAGAAACAAGCCTCCAACCATTGTTCTCTATACGATGATACCAGCCTCTACGATCCTGTTTCTGAAGATTATCACTTCTAGTATGAGATGCATATTTTGCTGAAAGTTTTGTGTAATCTCTAGGGCTATTAGCACACAGATCTTCAACATGTCTTTCAGTAAAAATTTTATAATATATTTCAGGTGGAAATTTAGCCTGTAGATGGAAAAATACAAAGGACTGTTGCAATCTAATAACAAAATGATTTACATTTTAAAAATTACATCTTTAAAATTAAATATAAATGAACTTCAAAACTACAAGTATGGCCCTGTGCTGTATGGCTCAGTGGATGGAGCGTTGGCCTATGGACTGAGGGGTCATGGGTTTGATAACAGTTAGGGGCACATGCCTGGGTTGTGGGCTCGATCCCCAGTGGAGGGTGTGCAGGAGGCAGCTGATCAATGGTTCCCTCTCATCATTGATATTTCTATCTCTCCCTCTTCCTTACTCTCTGAAATCAATAAAAATATATTTTAATATAACTACAATTAAGAATTCATCCATACTTACACCACCAAATCTGAACCGTACATGAATGCCAGCTGCAGCATCTAGAAGCTCTGCCTGTAAAAAACATTACTTTTTTAACATTCTGTATATACCAATTCACTATTTCTCTATCATGTTAAAATAATTGCTAAGTATTGATTTTTATAAAATAAGACAAGCAACTAAACCTCAATTATTTTTAAATTAGAAGATATTTTAATTTTTTATAGTTATCTAAGAGTAAAATAGCTTACATGATAACTAGAAAAATAATATGAAACTATGCTTCCTTTCTATGCAATATATAAGTATAAAAGTAAAATTATTTGTTATTCATAAAACTGAAGTTTAAATAAGTCCTCAGGTAAATTTAGAGAAAAAATTGTAATTGGTCAATCTGAATTTAACATCAGATGATGTTTCCTAACTAGTTTTTATTAAATAAAAAAGAATCCATGTTTAAATTTCTTAAGAATTGTATATAATTGGTCTTCTAAATTTTAGTGCCCTGGAACAAATGGAAATAGAGAAAAAAATATTTAATCTTCTATTAGAAGATAGTTCTACCTATCTCCTAATAATATTAAATTAGATGAGAAAATAGATGCTACCCTAATTTGTTCAGTCCATAAAGCCTAAAACAACACTAATTTTACATAATTTTCTTCTGAGTAAAAATTATACATAATATGCACATATATAGTCACACCTCAAATATGAATAAAGATGTTTTAAAACAGGATCTCAAACTATATATTCATGAAATGCATACACTTATATATGAATACATATATCTTTTTCCCATGAAAGTAGACAAATCATAAGTGCATAACTTCCTCTTCTAATCAGCTAGGGTGAGGGCCTGATCACATCAATCCAATCAGAGATTGGGCTGGGTCAAGCCTGAATTGTAGTTTTAGTAATCTGTATCCAATTTGTTCACTTCTAATTTTTCCCTGTTTCTCAAGATTTGAGGCTGACATCTATCTCCTCAACCATGAAAGTCTATGGGAAACTCAGTTACATCCTTTGGAAGATTTGAGCTTAATTCTTTATTCTTCTACCATCTACAGATTCAAATAGGTGTGTGTGTGTGTGTGTGTGTGTGTGTGTGTGTGTGTGTGTGTTGGGGGAAGGAAGGGGAAGTTGGCTGTATTTGAGGAAGTTCCTTTCTCTCTACTATGATTTTGTCTCTTAAGTTTATGAGAGATTTCATTTAGGGTAACAGTGTTATTTAAATGGACTTAGATTAGTTGTAAATTGGTTCACTACAAACTCTAAGGCAACCAAAAAAAAAAAAAATAGTTAACAAACGGGTCAAATAAAAAGTATCAAGATTAAAATTTTAAATATTTTTTCACTAAATAAAGTGAAAATACAACTTATCAAAATTTGTGAGATACAGCAGAAATAGTGCTTAGAGGACAATTTATAGTATTGAATACATATATTATAAAACTACAAGGATCTGAAATCAGTAATCTAAGCTTCCACTTTAAGAAACTTGGAAAAGAAAACAAATTAAAAGTAACAGAAGAAATGGGGGGGGGGAATAAAATAGAAATCAATGAAATTATACAGGAAATCAATAAAAAAATAAAAGCTGATTCTTTTTAATATATATATATATATATATATATATATATATATATATATATTATTGATTTTTTACAGAGAGGAAGGGAGAGGGATAGTTAGAAACATTGATGAGAGAGAAACATCTATCAGCCAGATGTGCCCACAACCAAGGTACATGCCCTTGACCAGAATCGAACCTGGGACCCTTCAGTCTTCAGGCTGATGCTCTATCCACTGAGCCAAATGTGTTTCGGCTAAAAGCTGATTCTTTGAAAAGATCAATAAAATCAATAGCTTCTGGCAGGCTGATTAAGAAAAGAGAAAAGAGATAAATTACTAATATCAGAAATGAAAGAAGGGCTATCACTACTGATTTTATAGGCATTAAAGGTAATAAATATTGGCCTGGCCAGCATGGCTCAGTGGTTGAGCATTGACCTATGCTATTAATAGTAAACTAGGAGGTCACAGTTAAATTCCTGGTCAGGGCATATGCCCAGGTGTGGGCTTGCTCCCCAGTGGGGTGTGTTCAGGAGGCAACTGATCAATGATTCTCTCCCATCATTGATGTTTTTATTTCTCTCTCCCTCTCCCTCCTTTCTGAAATCATTAAAAAATATTTTTAAAAATCCTATCTAATAAAGAGGGGATATGAAATTGAGCATCACTCCATCACAAAGATGCAGTGCCCAGTCCTCTCAGCCCTGCTGGAGTCCCCCAGTCTTGGGGGGTTGGCTGTGAGAGTGGGCAGCATGAGTGGCCTGGTGGAATGCTTGCTTTGTCACTGCAGCCACAGAAGGCCTCTGGGTAGCAGGCAGGGTATGTCTGATGGGGGGGGCTTGCATCATTGCCCCAGCAACAAGGCTAGCATTCCACACCCGGCCATGGATGGCCTCTGGCCAGTGAGGGCATAAGGCTGGCCAGGGAGGGAAGCTGGGTCCATGAGGCAGGCAGGGGAGGGCAGTTGGGGGCCATGAGGCAGGCAGGGGAGGGCAGTTGGGGGCCATGAGGCTGGCCAGGGAGAGCAATTGAGGGCCATGAGGCCAGCAGGGGAGGGCATTTGGGGTGATCAGGCCAACAGGGGGGCAGCTGGGGGCGAGCATGCTGGCAAACAGAGTGGTTAGGGGCATTTGGGCAGGCTGGCAGGTGAGCAGTTAGGAGCCAGCAGTCCTGGGTTGCAAGAGGGATGTCCAACTGCCAGTTTAGGCCTGATCCCAGAGGGACATCCTCAGCAGTCAGACATTCCCTAAGGAGTTCCAGATTGGAGAGGGTGCATGCCACCCCTCCTCCCCACGCATGATTTCATGCACAGGGCCACTAGTAATAAATATTATGAACAGCTCTATGCCCACATATTTGATAACCTATATAAAATAAATCAATTCTTAGAGAGAAACAATGTGACAAAACTAAAACAAGGAGAAATAGAAAATCTGAATACCAGTAGATCAATATCTATTTTAAAAATTGAATCAATAATTAACCTTTCAAAACAGAAAGCACCAGGTCCAAGTGATCACTGGTGAATTATACCAGATATTTAAGGAAGAAATACTAATTCTCTACCATCTCTTCCAGGAAACACTTCCTAACACATTCTATGAAGCTAGCATTGCCTAAATGCCAGAACTATACAGATACATAACAAGAAAGGAAAACTTAAGGGCTTATTATGAAAGTAACAATAATCAAGACAATGTGGTGGTGTTAAAAGAATAAATAAAGTAATGGAACAGCAGAGAAAGCTTTCCACATAAATATAGTCAAATTTATCTTTAATTTGTTTTATTTTTTATTATTTATTGTGGAAAAATACACATAACATATATACATATAACAATATCTTAACTATATACAATTCAGTGGTGTTAAATAAATTGTTGTGAAAATCATCACCACCGTTCATCTTATCTTTGACAATTCAATGGAGAAAGGATAATCTTCAACAAATGGTGCTGAACAACTATACATCCATGTGCAAAATTAAAAAACAACAACAAATCTAGACACAGATCCTGCACCTTTCACAAAAATCAACTGAAAATAGATCATAGACCTAGATGTAAAATGCAAAACTATGAACTCCTAATGGATAACATAGGAGAAAATCTAGGTAACATTGGGTTTGGTGATGACTTTTTCTACACCAAATCCCCAAAATGGCTTTTATTGCACCTTGCTGCTTCTGTAGCTGGACAACTTAGATCTTATTCATCAGCCAAAATTTTTTCTGATATCCTTGTTTTTAACTGTTGTAGCTGCTGAATCAAAGGAGCGGAATTTAATACAAGCTCAAGTCATTTCCTTCAAGAATAACTCAACTTTCTGGGTTTGAGATACTGAACACGCAATGCCTGACTTCATCAGAATCTTGTGAAGGTAGTTTTCGCCCAAGATATTTCTGATTTCAACAAGACAATCATTCTCCTGAAAGATGACATTGATGGGGAACTGAAGTGTAAACAGACCTCAGATTGTTAGGGAAGCTCAGTGTAACACCCTTGAGCGGGTTCTGTATATGAGTGCAGACAGTGTGAATGGTGGCCAGTTCCTTCCTATTTGTCAACCAGGAGTCTCTTCTTTCTCTCTCTAAGGAGACTGAGTTCTACATTGATGACGTGATGGGAGTCTCTCTGCAGGGTTCCCCTGGGTACCTTTACATAACTGCAAATCCCTTCAGAGTGATGTCAACATTTTCTGGAATGTTGACAGTCTGGTTGCTAAGATAGAAGATGTGGTTGCCTCGCAGAAGATGTGGCAAAGAGATGGTGTTGACTTTTTAGATGCAACACCAAAAGCATGAACGTGAAAGAAAAAATTTATAAGATGGATTTCATTAAAATAAATGCTCTGTGAAAAGCATTATTAAAGAATGAAAAGATAAGTATTTCCTGGGAAATGAGAAAAAATGCCAATTTTATATGATTTTCATAAATCAAATATGAATATTGTAATCTCTTGTATAGGCATAAAAGAATGATTAACAACAGAAAAATAATCAGCCCAAAAGAAGTCAAGAAAGGATTTTTTAAAAACAACAGAGCATTTGAGCATATAGTCAGTAAGTAGTAAAATATTAGCAATTACATTGAATGTGACTGGAGCAAATGCTCCAAGAAAAGACAAAGAGCATCCTACTATATTAAAAAAAAAAAGTTAACTAACAATTACCTGCCTACAAAAGACACAGCTAAATAAAAGATTTAGAATGTTGAAAATAAAATGATGAGAAAGACGTACCATGAAAACAATAATGAAAAAAAAGTTGATGTTCCTATATTAATATCAGAGATCTGGACTTTAAAGCAGAGATTATTACTAGAGACATTTTATAATGATGAAAAGGTTCTCTTCACAAGAAAAACAAAATAACCCTAAGTTGATATTCAGTCTACAGCATGGTCTCAAAATATCGATATATAAAGTATTAGGAAAATGACAAGTCTTTAATCACAGTGAAAGATCTTAACACACTTCTCTTAGTAACTGATAGTATA